AGAAAGATAACACACCCCAGTGTTCACAGCAGCACTATTTAAACAGCCAAGATATGAAAGCAACATAAATGCCCATCAACAGATGATAAGAGGCGGCAGTACATATAAACAATAGAATATTACTCAGCCATAAAAAATAATGAAATAATGCCATTTGCAGCAACACGGATGGACCTAGAGATTATCATGCTAAGTGAAATAAGTCAGAGACAGACAAATACATTACTTCTATGTAGACTCTAAAAAAAAATACAAATGTACTCATTTACAAAACAAAAACAGAGACATAGAAAACAAACTTGGTTACCAAAGGGGGTATAAATTAGGAATTCAGGATTAACAAACACTACTGTATGTAAAATAGATTTTTAAAAAGTGACTTATAATACAGGTAACTACATTCAGTATCTTGTAATAACGTCTTACGGAAAAGAATCTGAAAAGGTTAGCAACATATATGTATGGATATACACATATATATACACACACAACTGAATCACTTTGATGTACACTTGAAAGTAACACAACATTGTAAATCAACTATACTTCCATTTTAAAATAATGGATTTAAGACCTAAATGTAAGACCAGAACCCATTAAACTAAAAGAAAATATAGGTAGAATAGTCTTTAACCTAAATTATAGCAATATTTTTTTGATGTCTCTAAAGCAAAGAAAATAAAAGCAAATACAAACAAATAAGACCTAATTAAATTTAAAAATTGCAAAGCAAAGGAAACCACCAACAAAAAGACAAGCTACTGAATGGGAGAAAATATCTGCAAATGATATGACTGATAAGGGGTTAATATGCAAAATATATAAACAGTTCATACAACTTGACATCAAAAAAACAAACCACCCAATTTAAAAATGGGGAGAAGACCTGAATAGAAATTCTTTATAAATGAAATATACAGATGGTCAACTGGCCCATTAGTAGATGCTCAACATCATTAATCATCAGGGGAAACGCAGATTAAAATCACAATGAGATTTTACCACTGGGCCACCAGGGAAGCCCCTGAATTGGTTTTTAAAGCAACTGACTACTTTAAAAATAACACTTCATCGAGACTCACATACCATAAAATTCACTGTTTTAAAAGTGTGCAGTTGAGTGTACTGATAGTATATTAACAGATTATTAGTTGTCAGTATGTTAACCGAGTTATTTGGTGGTTATTTACTACAATAACAGGATTGTGCAGCCATCAGTACCATCAATTTTCAGAGCATTTTCTTCACTCCTCACACCTGTCAGAAGGGCCATCACCAAAAAGACTACAAATAACACATGCTGGAGAGGATGTGGGATAAAGAAAACTCTCCTGCACCACTGGTGGGAGTGTGAACTGGTGCAGCCACTACAGAAAACTGTATGAGGTTTCTCAAATTAAATATTACCATATGACCCAGTGATTCTACTTGTGGGCGTATATTCAAAGCAAATGAAAACACTGATTAGGAAAGATATATGCACCCCGATGTTCATAGCAGCACTGTTTACAATAGCCAGAAACTGGAAGCAACCTAAGTGTCCATCATAGACGAACAGATACAGTTCTGGTACACACATACAAAGGCATACTACTATTAAAAAAATGAATACTATTATTTAAACGAAAAAAAAAAAGAATTAAATGATGCCATTTGCAAAAACATGCATGGACTTGGAGGGTATCAAGCCAAGTCAGAGAAAGACAAATACTGTATGGTATCACATGTGGAATCTAAAAAATAAGAGAGACTAGTAAACAACCAAAAAGTAAGAGAAAAAAAATAAATAAAAAGGAAGAGACTCAGATATAGAGAACAAACTAGGGGTTATCAGCAGGGAGATGGGAGGGGGAGGGGTGAGGTAAGAGTAGTGAATTAAGAGGTACAAACTTCAATATACAAAGTAAGTTACAAGCATATTTAATACAACATATAGTCAGTATTTTATAACAACACTAAATGGACTATAACCTTCAAATATTATGAATCACTGTTGTATGCCTAAAACTTACATAGTATTGTACCTCAACCTCCATTTTAAAAACTAACTTTAAAAAAAGTCAAATAATAGCTTTTTGCTGGTAATGATGTAGAGAAAAAGGAATCCTTATACCTGCTGGTGGGAATATAAAATGGTCCAATTGCTTTGGAAAACCATCTGGCAGTTTATAAAATGGTTAAATAGAGTTTTATGACCCAACAACTCCACTCCTAGGTACATACTCAAGAGTCTCAAGAACATGTCCACACAAACATTTGTATGTGAGCGTTTATAGCACCACATTTACAAACACTTGTATGTGCATGTTTATAGCATTATATTTACAATAGGCAAAAGGTAGAGACAACCCCAATGTCCATCAATTGATAAACAGGTAAACACAATGTGATCTGTCCATACAGTGACTTATTATTCAGCTATAAAAAGAAGTAAAAAAATACTGACACCCGCTACAACATGGATGGCCCTCAAAAACACCACACTTAGGCAAAGGAGGGACACCCTGAGATCACACCCTGAGACCGCGTGTTGTAGGATTCCATTATACAAAACACCCACAGCACATAAACCCACAGAAACAGGGTTTCTTTCTGGAGTGAAGAAAATGCTCTGAAAATTGATGGTACTGATGGCTGCACAACCCTGTTATTGTAGTAAATAACCACCAAATAACTCGGTTAACATACTGACAACTAATAATCTGTTAATATACTATCAGTACACTCAACTGCACACTTTTAAAACAGTGAATTTTATGGTATGTGAATCTCAATGAAGTGTTATTTTTAAAGCAATCAGTTGCTTTAAAAACCAATTTATGGGCTTCCCTGGTGGTCCAGTGGTAAAGAGGGGCAACTAAACCTGTGCCCCCAAACTACTGAAGCCCGCACACCCAGAGCTCATGCTCCGCAATGAGAAGGGGAACCCCCAGCTCCACACAATTCAGAGAAGCCCTCGCAGCAATGAAGTCCTACCACAGCCAAAAATGCATTTAAAAACTATTTTAAAAAAGCAGGTCAGCACAAGCAATGTAGCTGTGTGGTTTTGTCCCAACGTTCTCCTGAATTTGACAGGTACAGGGGGACTGACAACCACACTATTACTACCAGGACGATTTCTTTATCACAAGTTTCTCAAGAGTTTAAAATATCTCGTGTACGGTGCCAACATTCCACCTATACTGTTAGGCTGCATCCCTGTCCCATGGTTAAAATGACAAGCTTGAACCCAAACCACAGGCTGAACGAGAGGCTGTGGGGCAGAGGTGGGGGTCAGTAAGAGGGGCCACCTCGAGTCCTCTTAGGGAGTAACTGCCAAGCCTCCTGGGGTTGACCACTTCCTGTAAAGGTCCTGTTCATGCCAGAATCTGGCGGACAAAGCACGTAGCTTCGGACACACGCTACACAAGCCCCCTCCCAGCTTCTTGCCCTCCGGTTACTGCCCTGAGGCACATCAGTTACACTTCCAGGGTCTCCTTAGTGCGCCTGCGCAGCTCTGGATGCGCCCAGACAGCTGCCACCCAGTACAAAGCCCCAGACTCGGCCTGGACTGCCTTCTGTGCCAAGAGCACACCCACCGCTCAGCTCACCCACCCTCACCAGCTGGAAGCCCGGGACCTCCCGCGGCCTCAGCGGCGATCCCCACCAGCTCGTTGGGAGGACTGGACACTCTGGGCTCGGCCCAAGCCCTGCTGTATCCCAGCTGCCCCTCCTCACACCTCTCCCATCAGAGCGGGGCTCTGGTCACCTCGGGCAGTCGCCCACCCTCAGCAGGGACAGACAGCCTCCACCCTGCAGGCTGATGTCAGTGCTCACCTCCTCAGGCTCTCAGAACAGAAGCCTGTTACCTGAAACTTACGTCAGGTTCAAACTCCCACCCCAAAGATAACTATAATGAAAACAATATAAATCAAATTAAATGAAATAAAACATTACATGGGATGAAACCATTTCACAAATTTCTCAACAGCAGCCTTGTAGGTGGGCTGGTCTTGGGTGGCTGGCGCTTCTGGAAGCAAGCCCTGCGGACAGGGGGCGGGGGGCGCTGAGCCCCACGGGCCAGATGGGCACCGACGAGCATGGCTGGGAGTCAGCTCAGCTGCTCAGAAGACACCAGGGTCCCCCAAGTCTTCACTCCTCTCTGGGAGACAGTGGGGTCCTCCAAGAACACCCCAGGTCTTCACACCTCTCTGGGAGACTCCTATCGTGGCCAATGGTTTCTAAATAGCTGGATGCTGTCCCCACCCCGCAAAGCCACTATTTGCATGAAAAGGCAGACACACACGCAACTGGACAGGAACAGGAGCAAGTTTATTCAGGGGGACCCAGCTCACGGGAGGAGCACTGTCACTGTGAAGCCACATGACTTCCAACCCAAGAACCACACTTTACAACTTCAGCTGAGTTCTGTCTGGGTTTACCTGTCCAACATCCTAAGTCAAAGGTAACTTTAAATAGAAACACATTACGTTGGTGGGGGGTGGGGGGAACGACACTTCAAAGATGTCACATCCATGCCAGAAATCAGGACAGCCCAGTGAGGCCACCCCTAGGACCCACCGTGCCTCAGGGATACTGAGCACGGCCTCGGGTGTCATGGTGAAGGTCAAGTCTCCACAGACAACCAAATTCCCCGGAATGTAAGAACATCAAAAATTACAATCCAACATGTGCAAACAGGAGCAGCTTCTGGACACTAGCCATCCAGGTTCTGAAGGCTGGATGCAGGGGAGGGCAAGGGAGTGTGGGGAGGGGGGCAAGGGAGTGTTGGGGGACTCTGGAGGCCTCAGAATCAGGAAAGGGACTTGGATCTGCAGCCTCTCCAATCCTGATGGAGGCACCCAGTCTGAAGCACCTCCCTTCCACTGCAGGACAGTCTCTGTCCTTGCTAAGCCCGCGCTCTCTCTAAGGAACGTCACTACTTAATGCAAGAGAACCACCCTTCCTCGCATGGAGCTCAGCAGGACTCCAGCCTGGGGGCCGCTGGCCTGGAGCCTGCCTCAGCGAGCCCCCTCCTTCTGAGGGAAGAAGGTGAACCGGGTGGGGTTGAACTCCTCCCAGATGCGCTCGAACTCCTCTAGGAAGAGCCGCACGTACTCCTTGTCCTCCATGATGAGCACGTTCTCCCTGTTGTTCTGAATGGCCTGCGTGGTCCAGTTGAGGGAGCCAGTGATCAGCACCTTCCTGTCCACGATGGCGAACTTGTGGTGCATGTAGCCCAGGTCTTGGTCGTGCCGGACCTGGATCCCTGCAAAGAGCGAGATGTCACTGCTGCCCGGCCACCGACAGCTGCTGGCCAGGCAGGGGCTCTGGTCGCCCCCACACTGGAGCCCCTCGCTACTTCCCCAGCCCCTCCTCTCACTGTCCATCACTTGAGTTCTGGCTTCTTCTCCAGTGTGGCTGTGTTCACAGGACTGACTGCTGCTTTTGTCCAGTGTGGTGGGCACCGTCAGGTCTGGGTGGTGACAGCGGCTGAGCCAGGCGGAGGGCTGGCCGGCAGCAGGGACAGGAGAGTTAGTTCCTCTGGAAACACCTCCAGCCCTGACTGGGGGAGGCTCCCCACCCGCTCCAGTGTATATGACACACATCACCCTCCAGTTGCTGGTTTCAAGACAAGCCAGCGGCGACTGAAGCAAAACCCATTTGATCTCGGGTTCATATGCCCCTAAGGTCTCACTTGGGCCCAGAATCAGATCCCTCCTGTAATCAGGACCTTGTGAAGTTGGGGGACCAGCCCGGGGGGGGGGGCGTGCAGAAGACACCAGGCCCCAGACCTGAAGCCTCAGTTTTGGCCCTGTGACCACCCAGCTGACGCGGCCTCCCCTCCTGCTGAGGCTCAGGGCCCCTCATGTGCCCACCTCAACGTGCGCACCTCAGTCACAGGGTTGCCTGTCGCTCCTCGCACCACAAAACAGGCCCTCACGCAGGTGACTCCTCAGAGCAGCTGTCTGCGCCCCCACCCATGACCCTCCCAGGCACCTCCAGGGCTCCTGCTCCACCAGACTTCCCTGCCCTACTGTCCTGTTCTGCACTTGTGGATCCAGAGCCTGGAACCTGTCCGGTCAAACACAAGGAGACGGCTGAGCGGTGAGAGAACCACAGGGACGCCCTCAGAAGAGTCAATGTTTAGCTGGAATCTGGTCGTGGGCCCCCTTCAAGGTTCTTGCCAAATCTGAGGTCCTACAGTTCTCTACAAGAAAACGGCTGTGCTGAAACAGCCAAGTTTCCCCGACAACAGAACCAACACAGGATCGCAAGGCTGCCAGGAAGAGCAGAAGTCAACGTCCTCAACACTGAAACCAAGTCTGCATCCCGCCCCACACAGATGCGAAGACCAGGGTAGGATGCACCTGTGCCATCCCAGGTGACCTGAGATCAGCCAGGACAGTTTTCAAGGGCCCCACGTGCCTGTCACAGTGGCCACCAGAAAAGGCAGCTCAAATGGTTGCTAATGCAAGAATGACTTTGCAGGGGCCTCAGTGACCGAGAGAAGGGCAAGAGGTTCAGACTCCGAATCGCTTGCGCAGGACACAGCGTCACACCGGGGCAGGCGGAGGAGTTTCCAAGTAAGGCAGGTGTGAACTTAGAACATCTTCACAATTACTCACACTCCATGGTTCACGGTTACCACTCCAGTCAGGGGCAGGTCTGCCAGAGACGTGACTTCCCTGCCATTTGGCAGCTGAAGAAACAAATTACCTGCTCACTAACTAACCATTTCAGCTCCACGTCTTACCTTATTTTAAGTATTCATTTCAGATGCCCCAAAAGCACTCACTAGTGAATTTAAGAGAAAACACTTTCTCCTCTGTTTGGTCCTTAAGCCGACACTGCATCTCTGGGCACCTGTGCCCCGAACAGACTTCTGGGTCCCTGACAGGCTTTGCTTGCCGACCTGCTTCCAGCCTCGGCCCCTCTGGGGCCCAGGTTTCAGGCTAACACTCCGCACAGAAGCTCCTCTGGACACCCTGGACTTTCCCCAGACCCTGCACGGCTGCCAAGGGACACGAGTGTCTCCCCAGTCCTCTGAGGCTGCCCCAAGCGCCCTGCCTTCCTGCCTCCACCTCCCGCGGCCCAGCGCCCGGCCTACCTGCCTTGCGGAGCAGGCCAATCTGCGAGCCGTTGAGGGCCATGTAGTCGCAGTCGGTGACCACGCGGACACGCACCCCGCGCTGGTGCAGCAGCTGCACGGCGCGGCCCAGCTGCGGGCTGGAGAAGGCGAACAGGCAGAGCTCCAGACTGGCGCGGGCGGCCAGCAGGGCGCTCAGCAGCCGGCTCAGTGAGCTCTCGCCGTGGGGCAGGCTACACGGGCAGCCCGAGGGTGCGGCACCCGGGGACCGCAGCAGGGCTTCTGTGCAGGTCACTTGCGATGGGAAAAACAGCACCTCGCGCCGCGGCCGCGGCCGCCGCCGCCTGACCCACAGCCAGCGCAACACGGCGGGCAGCGTCTCCAAGGCCAGCGCGAGGCCAGCAGCCGCCACCACTGCCACCTGCCAGCGTAACGGCCGCATGGCGTCGGCAGCTACCTAGGCCCCACGTGCCACGTGCGCTCGCCGCACCCTGCGCCTGCGTGCCTGCTACGCACGTACGCCAGCCGCCCGTTGCGCCTGCACGCCAGCAGGTCACGTGTACCCACCGCCAGCTGCGCCTGCGTGCTCGTTCATCGCCGGCCGCCCGCCGCCCGCCGCCCGCCGTAGCCTTGAGCCGGCTGCGCACCTGCTCCCGCCTGCTGCGATGTGAGCTCGCCACCAACTGCGCCTGCCTGCGATGTCACCGCCTGCCTCCCAGTGCGCCTGCGCCCGCACCGCCCACCACCCGCCGCCCACGTGCGTCTGCATAGTCCGTGACATCCGCCTGCGCACCCAGCCCTGAGGGATGCCAGTGGCAGTGGCGGGGAACCCACAAAGGTCCAAACTGGAACAATGCGAGGGCCGCGTAAATAATGCAGAACTGGCTTGTACCCGAGGTATAAATGTGCGTCCTCTATGGTGGAGTGAATGAGCAAGGAAAGAGAGGAACTGTTCCGCCCAACAGAAGAATCCCTCGTGATCCATGGATGCTTGTCCTGAGGATGCTGCCCGGGGCTGGGGGTTGTTGGGGGCGCCCTCTGCAGAACAAGGGCAGCGACCCTCACACGCGGAAAATGGACAGAAGGGTCACGTATGAGTGCCCGAGAGACTTGACCATCTTTCCCGAAGCTGTGACCGGGTCCAGTCAGAAGGAAAAACCCATGGAAGCCCAGGTTAGAGGACTGCTTTCACTTCTCACGGGACACCTGGCCAATGTTGTTCAGGTCGGCCAAGGGCACGAAAGAAAGAGCCAGCTAGGGCGCTGTCACAGGCCAGCGCAGACTGGGGAGACCTCACACCTGCGTGCCCTGCACTGGATCCGGACACAGAAACATGACATTGGTGGAAAAGCTGGTGAAATCAAAATAATCAAATTAACTAAATATTATTTAGTTAATAATAATGTACCGATGTAAAAAAAATAATGTACAGATGTCAGTTCCTTCACTTTGAGGAATGAAAGTAAAGGAAGAGGCTAGGAGGAAGGGAAACTGAGTTGAGGGGTAAACGGAACTCTGTGCCATCTTTGAAACTCGGGAAATCTAAAGTTATTCTGAATTAAAAGTTTATTTAAAATGTGAAGCAAAAAAAGAAAAAAAATGTGAAGCACACACCTTCCATCTGGTGCAGCCATCCCGTGCATCCCACACAAACACATCCTACACAAAGACTTGGACCCAAAGTTCACAGCAGTCTTGCTTGTAATAACTAATGTCCCTCAACAGATAAATGTTTGCATATCAATGCGACAGAATACTATTTAGCAATAAAAAGAAAGAAACCATTGATACACACTACTACAACACGGATGGACTTCAGTTATGTTGTGATTGGCTGCAGAAACCTACAGTTCTACTGGCGAAAAATGGTGGACTCGGTTGTCAATGAACTGTGAAAACACACAGCCTCACCAGCCCAAGCTTGCAGTCCATGTCGGGGCAAGCAGCAGGTGAATTAAAAGTCTGACAGACACCCTGCAGAGGACCATGAAAGGGCCAAGCCATGGTCTCCAAGCAGCCCTGGCTGACTGAGGAGCAGCGTACGAGGGGGAATGACCCACAAAAGCACAGGGAGAAGTGAAAGCAACGGAGGCTTGAGAGTGTCCCACACATCCATGGACAGATCAGCAGGGTGTGAGGCCTGCAGGCTCCAAGTATCTGGGTTAAACCAAAATCACCAGTGACTCCTACATTCGAAAGACTCACAGGTGCCTTCTACAAACAGATGAAAATAAAAAGCTTAGCAGACACACCAGGGGCTGCTCACTGCAGGGGAAGAGATGCTGGAGTTTAAGTCCAGCTAAGTTTCCAAAGGACAGCAACCTCAGAAAAACAAAATAAAATCCAGAGTTGCTGCACTGTTATAAAAAATGCCCGTTTTTCAATCAGAGCTTCAGTTCAGTTCAGTCACTCAGCTTACCAACATGCAAAGAAAGAGGAAAGTGTGACACGCATGCAGGAAAACAGAAGCCAATAGGAACTGATTCGAGTGGACTCCGAAGTTGAATTTAGTAGGAAGGGACTTCAAAATGACTCTTACAAACATCCTCGAATTAAAGAAAAAGGAAAAATACGACAATGAGTAAACCGACTCCATAAATACAAAGTATTTACTAAAATCTATGCAAACTGTCAGTGTAGGTTTTTTGTTTTGTTTTTTAGTGTAGGTTTTTTAATTGTAACAAATGCATGTCTTGGGTCAGGGGTATATGGGAGCTCTGTACCTTCCCCTCAATTTTGCTGTGAACTTAAAACTGCTCTAAAGAACTGTATTTTAAAAAGTCTATGCAAAATAAATAAATAAAAAAAGAATAAAAAATAAAAAGTCTATGCAAACCACATATCAGATGAGGGTAATTCCCATAGTATATAAGAAATTCCTACAACTCAATAGCAAAAAAATTAAAAGAATAATTCAATTTAAAACTGTGCTAAAGACTTGAACAGACACTTTCCCAAAGACGACATAGCTGGCCAACAGGTATTTTAAAAGATGCCCAACATCACTAACCATCAGGGAAATGTAAATCAAAACCACAGTGAGGTATCACCTCACACGTGCTAGGATGGCTGTTATCATGGATGTGAAGAAATTGGAACCTGTGTGCTCTGTTAGTGGGAATCCAAATGGTGCACCTGCTATGGAAAACAATATAGATTCCTCAAAAAATTAACATAGGACTACCGTATGATCCAGCAGTCTCACTTCTGGGTATTTATCCAAAAGAACTGAATTTGGGATCTCAAAGATTAGCACTCCAGTGTTCAGTGTGGCACCATTCACAATAGCCAAGATGTGGAAACAATTTCAACATCTATCCACAAATGAATGGATAGAGAAAGCATGGTGATATCCAATTGCTTTGGCTAGAACTCCCACTACTGTGTTGAATCAACGTGGTGACAGTGTGCATACTTGCCTTGTTCCTGATCTTGGAGGAAAGGCTTTCAGTCTTTCATTGTTGAGTATTAAGTTTCCTGCAGGTTTTTCACATACAGCTTTTGTGTGAAAGGGAGTTTCTATTTGGCAGAACTTTTTTTTTTTTAATCACAAAGAAATGCTTAATTTTTCATGTGCTTCTCCATCAGTTGAGGTAACTGGGTTTTTTTTCCCTTTATTTTTTTGACAGGGCATATTACATTGATTGGTTGTTGTATGTTGAACCATCCTTGCATTCCAGGAATAAATCCCACTTGGTCATGGTGTCTAGTTTTGTATTTGTTTTCTTTTTAATATGCTGCTGAATTCTGTATTTTGTTGGGGATCTTTGCATCGATGTTTATAAGGGATATTGGTCTGTAGTTATCTTTTTTGGCTTTGGTATCAGGGTTATGCTGGCCTCATAGACTGAGCTGTGAAATGTCCCCTCTCCTTCAATTTTGGTTAAAGTTTGAGAAGGACTGGTGTTAATTCTTTAACTGTTTGGTAGAATTCACCAGTGATGCAATCAGCTCCAGAGCTTTTCTTTACTGGATTTTTGATTACTGATTCAATCTCCTTACTAGTTATAGGTCTATTTAGATTTTCTATTTCTTCATGATTTAGTCTTGGCAAGTCTTCTGTTTCTCAGCATGTTTCAGGGTTATCTAATTTTTTAGCATACAATCACTCATATTACTCCTTTATAATCCTTTTAATTTCTATATAATAGGTAGTAATGTCCCCACTTTCATTAACTTGAGATTTTTTTTGAAGTATATCTAGCTAAATGTCAATTTTGTTGATCTTTTTGAAGAACCAAATTTTAGTTTTCTTGATTTTTCTTTTATTCTCAATTCCATGCATGTATGTATGTATTTAAATCCATGAGCTAGAATAAAGGGGGAAAAGGCATAAGAAGGAAGAAAACAGATCCCTCTTGCTTATCATCCAGGTTTCACCTCTCCCTGTGGAGTGAGTGACCCTCCCTCATTCTCCACTGCAGTATTGCACTGCTCTCTCTCACTACTCTTTGCCTTGGCCTGTTCACAGTGAATATTTTCACGTGTTTAAGCTCTTTACTGTTCACTTTCCTCACAAGATGGACATTTAAAAAGAGCAGGGAACTGTATTTCTAGCCCCTAAAATAATGCCTGGAATATAGTAAGCACTCAGTAACAAGTGGTTTTCTGTCTTTGCATCAATTTCCATTTGTTCACACATTATTTTCTTGACTTTCTCCACATCTTCCTTTAGTTCTTTGAGCATCTTTGTTTTGAGCAACTTTAACAATTGTTTTAAAGTCTTTGCCTAATATATCTGCTGTTAAATCTTTTTCATGGACAGATTCTGTTGAATTCATTTTTCCTTTCAACATGCTGTCCACACCTTCCTGTTTCTTTGTATGTCTTGATTTTGCTGTTGTTGAACCCTGGACATTTAAATCCCCCTTACCAGGGGTTTACTGTTTTTTGTTGTTATTTTTACTTTCTGGCTCTTTGCCAAGGATCAGCTGAAGTTGTAAACTTAAATTTTTCTCCGATTTTTTTTTGAGCCCTTCCCTGGATATGCGCAGTCACTTTTTAATTTACTCATTCATGTAAATTGTTTGAATGTCCTACTCTTTAATGTCTGGCTCCTGAGAGGGGGAAAGAGGTCCCCAGCCCACTATCATTTCCTGACAGATACCTCATCCAGGGGTGGTGGGGTACAGCCACAGTGGCTGCCTCTCATCTGCACTGTGATCAGATGCAACGATCAGGCACAAAAACCTGATATCCCAAGGACTCCCACCCCCATTCCCACAAGCTATATGCAAGTTGATCCAAGAACATGTGCACGGTCCTGCCACATGGCTAGGGGTAGGAGAAGGGAACCTGAAATTATACAAAGAGCTGAAACTGACTGAAAATTAATCACAATTTATTAAGTCTTCCCCTGGAAATTTTAAGCCTCCAGCAAAGTAGAAAATTCCAAAACAGTTCTATTACTGTTCTTACTCTAACCATATTATTTTCTGTGACTGATCCCAAGAAAATCTGAGGTAGCAAACCAATAAAACCATGTAGTCAACAGTTTATAAAAATATATCTTTATTATTTTGATGTTCTTGCACAATACATATACCTAGTCATATAAACATGGTCTTCCTGTTAAATATAAATTAAACACAAAAAAACTATAAACAAATCAGCAAAATTACTGGAAAATCCTTCCAAACCACAAATCCTTATTAAAAATGTACACAGGGATGATGAACCTGTCTTTAGACATCAAAATTAACTGCAGCCAAATGTAGACATTTAAAGAAGCAATCAAGGGCAGAGTGATATGGAATAAAACTACGATGGGTGTCTCAGCTGCATACATAGTAAGCCAGGTCAGTCAAAGGACTCCAGTTGGCATTTCAGCAGAGTGTCATCTCTGTGCAAAGAGATCAGGGCTTGTCCTCAAGCTCAGGGTACTCTCAAAGCAACCACAGCAGAGAATGGCCAGAAGAGTGGTGGTCAGATAACTTAAAAACACAAATTCCAGATGCTCCAACGAGGAGCGTGGAACATCCACTCTACCCATGAGCGTGGAACATCCACTCCACCCAGAGCCATTCCCAGAGCCCTGACTTGAAGCCAGGTTATTAGCAGTGACTCCAGATTAGCACATACTCTGAAAACCCGTAACTACAGGGAAACTCACGACACATACAAAACCTGGAAAACCCTTGCTGAATTTCAGAATAGAAAGGTTCAACCACTAACCTTGACAGGATCTGACAGTGAGGCTGAGGTACCTCAGGCGAGGCTGACCAGACAGGAGATACATACTTTCCATCCATTCTTCTCTCCTAGGGGGTGCGAATGCAGGGGACAAACTGTCACAAGTCTCCAACTGCCCTCTCCAGGGCTGGAGCAGCTCAAAGTCTGTGGGATGGTGCCATGCAAACCCCACACAGAGAGCAGAGTTCAGCTCCAACAGATTCCACTCCTGAGCAAACAGGGTCAGGTCGGCATTCGGATACAGGAGGACCACCTGTGACCACCATCAGAGACCTGTGTCTGAGCATCACGACAAGTTGGCCATTGCCACTTCCCAGCAGGCCACGTGGATGCTCGTTCCCACGGTGGGGTCAGTTGCGAGGCTCCAAGGCCGTGGGGCTGCGGACTGTGGACATGAGGTGTGACTTGTAGGTTTTGCTCAGGCCTGTCATCCAGAACTTGAGCAGCTTAACGTTGTCCTCCTCAGACGCTCCAAGGATACTCAGGAGCTTCTGCGTGTCCTCTTTGGGCCGACTATCCACCTTGGTGAATTTAAAAAGGACCTTCACTTTGCTGTAGGAAATCAAAACCAAACACTCAGCTACCATAGCGCCATCAGCAGAGTTCTGGTCCTGGGGCCTAAGAGGCTTCAAGACCAGCAACAGAGCAGAACAGAAACAGGGGAGTCAGCACGGCACAGCAGCAGCTCAGGCCTGCCCCAGCATTTCCCACTTGCCCAGTTCCAATGCTGCTGCATCCAGACAGGGAGGTCAAAAAAACAAACATTCTTTCCTGTCATGAAAGGAACTGCCTGCTCTGAAGCTTCACTGCACTATTTAAAGTCAGAACGATGTTTAGCTAATTAATTGACAAAAAATTACTAAGAAGGCAGGAGGGAATATAGTTATCTGCTGTCACAGAATGGGAACTATCTGATCTTTCAACTTTTTAAGTTAATTAACTATCAAAAACAACTGCTTCCTTGGAGAGCACAGAGCAGCTTGAGGCCCAGGTGCCGAGTCACCTGCTCAAGTTCACCCAGATGGCTGCACAGGCGGCGGACTTGTAACCTCTCCCCTACTGCACCACCCCAGTGCCACAGCCTCAGCTCTTTTCTGGTTTTCCTCGGCAGAATGCCATGGTGTTGGCACCCCAGCCCTCCCCGGAAAGCAAGACTCCAGGAGCCGTGACAGCGCCTGCTTACTTCATCCACTCTTCCTTGAGGCACACGAGGCACTGGTCCACCACATCCACGGACAGGTTCTGGTTGGTCAGAGCAGCCTCCATCTTATTCAGGATGGTGGGGCCGACTGGAAGTGGGGCAGAGGGGGTCAGCACCAAGAGAGCCTGAGTGCTGCCCCCAACCCCCCCCAGCTCATTCTGGGATGAGGCAGCCCGCTCAGCGGGACTCACCTCGGTCTGCGGCTACAGGACTCCCACTGGTCACCACAAACTCGTACTTGCTGAGAGGCTGCTCACCCTCACACCCGACTGCTTGGAGGCTGGAGCGAGTGGCCGTGTGGACCTCCACGACCACAGCAAACTCTGGGGCAACACAGACACACTGCTCTGTCAAGTGTGCCCCTTCACCCCATGACAAGCACACTCTACTCTGCGGCTCCCAATCATCTCAAACCATCTCGGGCAACACTCCAGCCACCCGAGGTTAATACTTGGGCCTTTAAAATCTTCTGTCATTTGTGAACACAGTTAAGAGTTCACTTTTGACTCAAACTAACAATGCATCAAGTGATAATAACTACTGATTATGTCATATACCTCAGTTGGCTTAATACTAAACTGCTCTGTGAGGGGGTCCTGCTATAACTCCTACTTCATAGGCAGGGAAACAGAGAATCTAAGTGACTTGCACGAGGTCACATGGCCATGGTGGTAATAACATCAAGCCAGTCTCTGAGACTAGAGCCTGTGCTCTGCATACTGACTCCTGGACTCACAGCCCAGCCTGAGTGCTGAAGGACGGCAGCTCTGTGACCAACCGTCTGTCGAACTCACAGAATCGCTGGAGGAGCCTGGACATGCCAGGAGGTGGGGATGGGTGCCTAGGCTGATTCCCAAATGCCCCCAACTGAAAAGGGATGAAAACGAGCTTCCTGGCTGTTTTTCTAGAGCAATAAGCTTGTCCATCCCAAGGGTGGAGGTGAGCAGAGCAAAAGCCACTGAGCTGATGGGCAGCAGGGACGGATTTACGGCAGATAAAACAGGAGACCAGAAAGAGGAAGGAAGACCATAGGGCAGAGGGGTCAGTCCAGCGGGACTCCTGAACCATCCCCAGGATGGGACATGCCCCCACTGAGAGCCACATCCCAGCAAGCTACCGCAACCATGAGCTTGTCCAGCCCAACCCACACCCGCCTTGAAGACAGGAAACAGAGGCCAATGCCGTTGGCAAAGCAGGTCCTGCAACATGGGCCCTCCTGCCTCTGAGGCCAGCAGGTGTGGTCCTCACACACAGCTGACACCCAGCCACGTGGTCTCGCTCTGAGTCCCGAGGACCAACGAGGCTTGTACCTGAGGCCAGCACGTGGGGAGGGATCTGCACGTGGGGGCTGAGGCCCAGGAAGTTGCAGCGGTAGGCCTCCTCGTACTGGCTGCTGTAGGGGACGACACGGACACAGCCCACGGGCAGCATGGTCTGCAGGGACACAACGGCCCAGGGTTGAGGAGCGCTACCCCAGCTGCGTCCATCCCCACACCCCAGTACACTCAGCACTCGTGCAGAGCCCCTTCCTCCCAAGGTGTCCCTGGTGTCCTGGCCCCAGGCTGTCTCCCACACAGCCCCACCCTGGCCTGCTCAGCAGGGTTAGCTCCTCCTTCATTCTCCAGCTGCTTAGCTGTGTGTCTCTTCCCTCATCCCCAAAGCTTTTTGAGAGACTGATCTCGTGCCCTCAGGGCCTAGACAGAGGGAGGTGAGCACGTACCCTCAGAGCCAGACCCAGGCTGTGGCACCACTACACCTGTGGGGTGCAACACGGCGGGCCCATCAAGAACGCGCTGTGCAGAGGATCTGGGGGCTGAGGCCACCCTGGTGAAGGTGGCTTCTCAGAGAGGTAGGGATGGGGAAGCAGATGAGACGTGATCAGTCTATGAAGACAGCAGATTCCTCATGGTAAACAAAGCCACAAATCACTACCTTTTGTTTTTCTAAATACTTTGGGGCCGAGCTGTGTGTGTCTTATGGAATCAGTTCCAACCAGGGATGGGACCCAGGCCCTAGGCAGTGAAAGGGCAGACAACCCCCATATTAATAGTGGAGAAAAACACAGATCTTAGATTCAGGAAACAAGTCTCTGATATGTCCTAACACCCACACCTGAAGTCCAGTTAATAAAACCCACCAGGCCAGTACTGTCTCCCCACCACCACAAAAGAAAAAACACCCTCTCACCCGAAGGACTTCGAAGGCTGAATGGACGAGGTCTGAATCTCTGCTCTTCCAGATCACCTGGTTCCCCATGAGGACGTGCCAGGCCAGTGTGCGGAAAGACGGGGCACCCAGGACCTGAAAAACACAGCGTACAGCTTTCCATCCAGAAACTTTGCCTGTGGAGCAAAGGAGGCGGGCCAGGAGAGAGGAAGTCATCTACCTCCAGAGGGGGGAGGGGGAGTTGGATAATGTGCCCAAGGACAGGAAGGGGCAGGGGGACCTCTCTACATTCACACCTGAAAGCCTGATCCCAAAGCTCTTGCAAACTTCAACATCTTTCCCCCAATTTTACTCTTAAAAACTTAAAGCTGTTCATTCTAAGCTTTCTGCAACACGCCTTCTCTCTCTACACACTTAACTATGGCTCAACCACTCAAAAGCGAACCAAGGTTGTGACTCTTCAGCACCAAGGAAGAGCGGGGTCTCCACACCGGCTCACCCAGGGCTGCCCTGTTCAGTGTGGATCCACGTCCAGAGAACACATCCACCCCTCCTCCTGGGAGTGAGACTCCCTGATCTATCCTGTCTCTGTTGTCATTCAGTTGCTCAGTTGTGTCTAACTCTTTGCGACTCCATGGACCATAGCCCGCCAGGCCCCTCTGTCCATGGGGTTCTCCAGGCAAGAATACTGGAGTGGGTTGCAATTTTCTTCTCCAGGGGATCTTCCCGACCCAGGGATTGAACCCGCATCTACTGCATCTCCTGCTGCTGAGCCACCTGAGAAGCCCATCTTATCTTTTTCCTGCTTTAATCAACTGATTAACCCTGTGGCACTGACGTTTTGCTGACAAAAGGCCGCCAAAGAAGTGATGCTTTTGAATTATGGTGCTGGAGAAGTCCCTTGAGAGTTCCTTGGACAGCAAGGAGAACAAACCAGTCAATCCTAAAGGAAATCAACCCTGAATATTCACTGGAAGGACTGATGTTGGAAAAGATTGAACGCAGGAGGAGAAGGGGACAAAAGAGGACAAAATGGTTGGATGGCATCACCAACTCAATCGACATGAGTTTGAGCAAACTCCAGGAGATGGTGAAGGAAAGGGAAGCCTGGCGTGCTGAAGTCCATGGGTTGCAAAGAGCTGGACACGACAGAGTGATTAAACAACTCACAGTTTCGAAGAGCTCATCCTGTTACCCATACCACCCGCCCCTGAGGACCCGCCTCCAGGACCCACCCCTGGCAGAACCCCAGACCCCTCCCAACTGTCACCCACAGAAACAATCAGCATGGCCTGCAGCCTAGTCAAGGACGAGCTGAGTGAACGGTTTTTACCCTTAAGTCCCACAGAGAACCTGTTGTTAATCAGGCTTTATTTAATTTTCCAAAAAACAAATCACTGTCTTCTGACAGAATTCATGCTCAACATAAAAAGAGAGAGTCTAAGAAGGAACTCTTGGCCTCTGTGACCCAGTAGTCCCTCCCCCAATACCCCCAGTGGTCATGCCTCACCCCTATCCCCACTGCCACGCAGGCTCCCTCTTATACTGAATGACAAACCCTTGTTTGAATGCAATTACTTGAGTCAGACACTCAGATCTTTTGATTCTAAGACTGCCCACTGTTTTCAATCTACAAAGCATCCGTGCTGCATGCAAATCAACAATGTTGTTCAACTCCTTTAGAAGGTTCCAGAACCACAAGATTCAAGACTCATGAAAAGCTGACTGCTGGGACTTTCTTTAAGGACACCCCCTCCATCCTCACTGAGCCTAGGGCTCAGACACCCCAGATGCCCACTGTCATCTACAGTCACCCACTGAGAAGGTTCCTGGTCACTCCTGAGTACGGCAGCCTGAAGGACAAGGTGTGCCGGGTGGAGATGAGCCAGAAGCAGAGGCAGGGGCTCCGGTCCCAGTGTCTGACCCCTCTATCCCCTCCCCGCCCCCGCTGCCACCACCTACCTGCCTCATGTGCCGAAGAGATTTGAACACGGAGAGCTTCCGTGGCTGCCAAGCTCCACAGTCTGAGAGCAAGGAAGACTCCACTGGGCACTTGGTCAGTTCCCGCCCCTCTGCCCCCTCTGGCAGGGCAGGGCCTTTCTCCTCCTCTTCAGCCTCAGAGTTGTCCCAGCTTTCTGATTCCTCTTCCAACTCTGCAAAACGGACGACAACTCAAGTTTCATAGCACGCAGCTCTGGGTTCCTTTACTCCCTGGATGTCACATGACCACTTCAGCCCAAGGCACCTTGTGGTTAAACCAACCAGAGGGTTACTGACTTCGCATTCAGGCCAGCTGGCTACACAACTTGCTGCCTCTGGAGCCCTGGGGGGCTGGGAGCAGTCAGTCTGTGTTCTATCCACGGCTGGTGGAAGAAGTCGAGCCAAGGCTGAGCAAAGCACGCAGGCGCTACCCTGAGGGCTCCACACATCCTGCCCTGAAGTCAGCACCGTTCTCCTCACCTTACAGAAAGGAAGCGCTTGTCATCTCAGCTCACCTCACATCAGCCCCACGAATGCAGTACCCTCTCTGTCACGCATGAGGGGCAGTGCCTGGGCAACACATAACATACATGCATCCCAGAGCCAGACCTGAAGGCACATCTGTCTGACTCCAGCCTGTGCTCTGAATCCCTACACTCACCTTTTTGACAAAAATACAACCCAAGACGTGACAGTGAACCCTGCACACCTGCACCTCTCTCAACACTCTTGGCTCTCTAAGAAACCTCACCAACAGACTGCCCTTGCCCTCTTCACCAGCCAAGAAATGCATAATCACTGCGATCAGTGGTCCACGGTTGACTGCACCATGAGAGTACCATGGTGGACCGCAATCCAGCGCCTCACCCTTGCAGGGAAGCCTGTTCAGATGCAAGTCACCTGATGACAGGAACAACCTTGAAACAGCTCCAGCCTGTTAAGGTCACACATTTGCAAGCAGCAGCTCATCAAGCACATCACGAGTCTTGTTCACCCCACATTGCTACGTTACTGATAATCCAATCATCTCCAAAAGAAACGTGGACTCTCAGACCCCCGGGTGGTTACCCAGATGTGGAGAGCTGACCACAGACCTGAGGAAGGTGGCCCAGACACCAGGCTGGGGAGCCACTGCTCTGGTGAAACCCTCGGGTCCTGTGAAGCACAGCACTCTACTGTTACAGAGCAGAGCAGGGAGTGGGCCCCCGTCCAGAGAGACGAGCAGGTTGAGAGCCTCACTCACCTGCCCCCCCGCCCCCGCCCCTCCCCACCAGAGCAACAGCCCTGGGGGTCAAGGCAGGCCTCTCTAACCTTCCTGGACAGACTCTCATGGGACCATAAAGGAAGATGAGACAGGAAACCCCAACAAAACCATAAAGAGAAAAGGGCCAGTTTCTGCTCCCAGGGTGCCCTCCATCAGCTCTCTGCCAGGAAGGAGGGATGGACTGAGCACAGGGCAACTCCACAGCCACCCCACAGGCTCCCAGCATGAGCACCTCCCTGCTCACCCGCAAGCTGCTCCATCTGGACCAAGGTGTCCTCGGTGGGTGCGCCTTCCAGGAGCTTCTCAGTCAGCCGGCTGCCGCATGCTTTCAGGAGCCTGAGAACAGAGCACCAACTATGAAGTGTTCTTGCCAAAAGAAAAACAGGACTCGAAACTGAAAGACGCTGCTGATCTGACTACTAGGTAACAGAACACTCGGGCATAAGGACGCAGCTGAGCACTGCCCAGTGGTTGTGATCAGCCAGGCGTCCAGGGGTCCCCTGACAGAGACCCAGCAGCACCTGCGCCCGTGGCGGTACGGCCCCCACACCAGGTCAAGCCTGAGGCAGCACAGGACAGCAAGCGTGGATGGGGCCGGAGGAAGCTACAGAAGGAGTCTGCTTTGTGGGATGTGATAATTTAATGGCTGAGGCATATAACTAAGATTTGCCTTAAAAAACATTCTAGAATAAAAAAAGTGAGGGAACAGATGAAAAAGCATAAGACACTGATAACTGCTAAAGCAAGACGGCAAGGGTATGTAGTGCTTATTACACGTTGGGTCGGTCTGAAAATTTCCGTAATTGATTTTTAAAAGACAGAACACTTGGCTGGGGAGACATATTTCTGCCTTAGTTTGCAGGTTCTCAGGAGCTGCACTCAAAGATTTCCATGTGAGAACATGGCTTAGGTGACGCTGCACAGGAATGAGAACCTGGGGTGTTTGGAAGGAACATACCCTGCAGGGGAGGAACAGAAAGAGTCTGTGGTGGGGGGACAGACTGCAGCGGTTTCCAGGTTGTCCACAAGTCTGTCCCTACTCTTCCCTCCACATGGTGGAGACTGAGCCTCCCACCTGCCTCAGGTGGGCCCCTCTAATGACAGCAGGTGAAGGCAGGTCTGAGGCCACTGAGGCCTGGGCATAAGAGCCGCCGAGCCCTTCTCACTCCCCCAGGTCACTGGCACAACCATGGTGAAGGGCTGAGGCTGCCCGCCCACGGCTGGACCAACCTGCTAGCCCTGAGAGGGAGCCAGCTTCAGAGAACAGAAGCTCCTGAGACCAAAACAGCCCAGGTCAGCCCCCTCCAAATCCTGACCCGCAACAGCCTAGCAGTTTAAGCATTCACTGCTGTCCCAGGAGAGGAGAGACCACTGGCCTTGGCCTGGAGTCAGCACCCAAAAAGTAGCACCTTCTCAGCGACCTCTGCATGCTTAGGGCCAAGGACAACTGGGCCAAGCTCAGGCTCACAAGCCACACACACATGCGCCCAGTGATGGTCCCCCTAACCTAGGCACAGTCCGGCCAACACCCTAGCAGTCGCGAGAAGACCGAGTCTGGTTACCAAGCAAAGGAGGTGTGCAGGCAGGCCCACAGGCTATCATCGTTGGTCAAGGACGTCAGCGAGCGGGCGGCGTTGCCATTCCTCTGGTGCAGGAACGGGGTGAACGCTGTGTTCATCCTCTGGGCACGCTGCGGGCACCCGAACTGCTCTGCTTCAAACACCTGAGCCATGGAGGGAGGGGATGGCCCTTCAGGACAATCCCAGCTGGCAGCCCAGGCCCCTCTGCTCTCTGGACCCAGAGGAAAGATAGGGCTGCCATTCCCACCCAGCACGGTACTCTGTTCTCATGCGGTCAGAAGCCACCTGAGGAAAGCGTCAGTTAAGAATTTCTCCCGCAGCCTCCCCGCTCAAGGTGGCCATGAGGTTGCTCTCCCAGTGCTCTTGGCTCCCCCTCCAGGCACAGGGGCTTCCACTGCTCAGACCCTGTCCAGTGGGGGACACGCAACCACCCCCCACAAGGAGAGGAGCCAAGCCTCCAGGCCCAAGTGCCCCCTGAGCAGGCACCTATGAGCAGCAGGCCACCACGGCTGCCACCCCTCACACCAGGCTGACACGGTGAGCAGACCCCTGTCGCCTGAACTGAACACAGATCGTCAACAAGCCGCTGGGGTTTAGGGACTGTCTGCTACCAAAGCACCACCAGCCTGTCCTCCCAGGTGACCCTTGACATCCAGGTAGAATGTGGGTCTGCCACACTATTAGTGGACAGGCTTCTGAAACGATGGTGAGAGGAAGCAAAGATTAGCAGGGATCACGCCAGAGTGGCTAACTGCAGTTATGACAGAGCCGAACAAGAACCAGGGCAGCAGGACTCAAGAGAGACAGGCTGGCCTCCAGCTTGTGGCCACAACTCCAACCATGAAGTGGTCAGGACCCCAAGGCAGGCACACCACCCCACTCCTGTTCCCTCCGCATGGAGCCCTCCCACCCCGCCCCTACCACCCAGCCTCCTGGCCACCTTGAGCGCCTTGCCCTGGAGCTCGTCGATGATCCCACGGATCTTGCCCAGCAGGAAGGGCCAGGAGTTGATGAGGTAGATGCGGTCCATCATGATGGCAATGATGCTGTACCAGCGCTGGAAGCCCCGGGCCAGGCTGTCCTTGATGAAGAACGTGTGACTGAACACGAAGCCATGCTGCTCGTCCCCAAAGAAGATGGGGCCCTCGCGGCCAGGGCAGACCTGGAACAGAAGGACAGTGCTCCAGGACACCACCCTCTATACACAGGTGACTCCTGCTCAGACAGTTCTTCCTGCACTAACGAACCAACACTGATTACAAGAAGAGTGGGAAAGGAGGATGAGAGAGGAAGCGTCTGCTTCTATCTCTCCTGTGATCAAACTCCCCAAAGAGAACATTCATTACTGTGGAACACAAGGGCCAGTGGATTCCTTAATTTCTTTGTACCTTGAGTCATATATAACTCCTATACAAATATATGATCTACCCCAGGCTCAAATTTGCCAACATCACTCATCTGGAACATACTGGAGGGAGGACAAGCCTCAAGGGTCTGAAAGTGGGTACAGTAACAGGAAGCATGAGTGAATAAACTACAAATTCTCTGTGACACAGACATACAAGCTAAGACTGAATGCAACAGCAGCAGTCACATGTCTTAGAAACACCTTGACGCACTCCCTGGTCAACTCAGAGAGCACGTGATGGGCACTGAGGCTGTGACATGGCGGTGACATCCAATGGGAGCAACATGGCCTTATACACACTCTACACATGAGCAGTACATCCAGGAAGAACAAAGAATGCAGGTCCGGTGCTTACAAGGGTGAGCTAGCAACCAGCCAGGGTGCCCTGCAGCTTACTCTGGAGGCCTGCCTGCCTGCGCTCTTCATGACAGGACTGCTGGCTGCCTGCCTGCTCATGACCAACACTGATGCTGCCCAGGCTGGAGTGTGTGGGAACGACTCCTCAGAGGGCCCAGGTCACGGGTGCTCACCTCACAGCTCAGGCTCCGCACACAGGCCTGGCGGACGATGCTGAAGAGCTGGGGGTGGTTGGGGTGCTGATGACTGACATACTTGATCGAGGTCTCCTTGTCATGGCTGATGTAGCCAGGGTGCCCCGCAGCAAGTGACCGGCAGCCCTGCTCACGAGAAACAAAGAAAACCAGTTAGCCAGGAAGCAAGCAACACACATTCTTCCCCTTGTGCGAATCTCAAGCAAAAGAATCAACTATTGTAAAAAACAACTGGCTCCTAGAGTTACACCTGGCTGAGGAACTCCGTTTCCTGAACAGGGAAACCCGGATGGGGGCCTCACAGAGGTCATTGGGTCTAGTCTACCACATGCCCACAGCAGGAGGAGTCCTGAGGAGCTCAGTACCCACCACTCATCTAACTCAAGGCGTGAACCCAAGACAGTCACCACAAGCACCCCCACCTTTGAGACAGCACAACAGGCTCGGAGCCGAGCAGCGGCTCACACAGCCTGTGCTGGCCTCCACTCTGATCTGGGCACAACACTGGGCAGGGCCTCAGGAGGTAGCCACACTCTGACGCTCAGACCCTCTGCCATGGAAGTGGGCTGGACCAGTGACCCTGGCTGCTGCCCCTCTGAAGCCACAGCCATGTTGGTGCCGAGGCTGTGCGTCCCCAAGGCAAGCCCGCCCCGTGTGATGCGGGACCCTCCCAAGCCATTCTAGCCCAAGAACCCTCCCCCATGATCCCACTGCCCAGGTCCCCCTCCTGCCTGCCTCCCTGTCACAGGTGTCACCTGCTCACAGCAGAGGCCCCTCCCCACCTTTGCTCCCTCCCTCTCGACCCCTCACAATCAACCTCAAGCTCGCTAACTGCTTCTCAGCAAACCCAAACTAACATGGCTGGATTTCTGTCCATCCTGCATGGCAGGTCCAACGCCACCCAATTTCCAGTCCAAACCCAGGGCCTGCATGTGAAGAATCAGCCTGGTTCAGGGACCTGATCCCCATCACCCAGGGCTCAGGAAGCAGGCAGGGTGCTTGAGAGGAGGATAGCCGGCTGAGGGGACAGGAGAGGAGGTCGGCAGCGCGTGAGCACTGTGCAGAGGGGAGGCTGGAAAGGCAGACTCTGTGATGGTGGCAAGCGCCTGCTGGCCCAGAGGGACTGGAAAGAGCCAAGAGCTGGCATGAGAGGAAAGAACCAGAGGGAAGAGAGGCAGCAAGCACATCCCAAGGGCCCAGAGCTATGAGGTCACTTCCATGACCAGGAGGTCAAGCCCAAGCCCCTGCAGAGAAGAAACACCGCTCGACCCCGCCCCCAGGGCCCCAAGAGACACTGGCCTCACACATGTCCGACTTCTTGGGCCCTGGGCTGCTGGACTCCGCGCTGGCGCCTTCTGCTGGGCTGTGCGCACGGATGCGACTGCTCATCTGGATGCCGCCCTCCTCCTCGTCCGCAGGCTCACCCCGGCCAGTGCCATCCCCACTACCAGCCCCCTGTGGCAGCGGGGCATGCAGGACCTCTGTGCAGAAGAGCGTGCGGGGGCCGTGCAGCTCGCAGAAGTGACAGAGCGCAACGATGGCGTTCATGGTGCCCCAGAGATGGTGCTGGGCTGTGGGGAGAGGAGAGAAATGCCTTAGATAGCCCCAGAAACCCACCCACTCCAGGGCCCGGAGACTGGAGGGCTGTCCCTGCCCAGTCAGGTCATGAGCCGGGCGGCACTGCTAAGCTCTCAGTCTGGACCAGCATGGCATCGCATGCAGAGATGCAAAACAGACACCGTCCCTGCCACGTGGAGTGAGGACAAACAAGACACACAGAACTTGGGATCACACAGAAACCCTTCAGTCAGGACTGCGATGGCAGGGCTCATGGGGACAGGGAGTGACAGTGCCCTGGGGCATCTGTTCCATGAACAGCCGTGGGGCAGCTCCAGTGACAGGCAGCGTTGCAGGTGCCATGATGCTGCCTCATGGGGCTCACCTCCCAGGAGGGGAGGGGAAGTAGGGCTACTGCTTCCTCTCATGTGATGAGAGTCAGGGAGACAAGGACAGGAGTCAAGGGCAGAGAAGCCCTGGAGAAGGCGGGATGTGATTTCAGACAAAAGGGCTCCTGACTGAGAGCTGAGGAGCACAGGGCACCACAAGGCCTGAGGAGGGGGCGTGAAGGAGTGTGAGGGGTGAGGGCAGAAGTCAAGCGGGGGGTGGGTTTTAGGGCCATGATAAGACCCCGAACTATCTTTCAGAGATTAGAGAACCTGTGGGAATTCTGATGAGAAATACAATAAATTTGAATGTTACTTTAAAAGATCATTTTGGCTGCTATTCCAGGTAGACACAGGGAAGCCAGCTGGCCTGGGCCAGGCTGGGCAGGGGAAGGTGGTGAGGACAGTCCAAGCGTGACTGTACCCCAAGGAGAAAAGCAGACACTGCTCATGGGTGGGTTGTGGAGCACAAGGAAAGAAGCAGGGATGTGGGGGCTGGGAGCAGAGAGCAGTGCTGAGGGGAGCCCCCAGTGGAGAAGATGACGACAGGCTGGCCGTAGCGGGGTGGTGGCGCTGAGTGGGGCAGTCAGGGCTGAGGGGCCCTGGGCCTCTAGAGCTTAGATGTGGGAGGGAGGAAGAGCTGGTCAAGGTGACAGAGAATGTCAGGCAGCGAGGCAAAGTGCACAGTTACTCCAGGGATCACAGAGCAAAATCCAAGTCATGAGGGAAGCAGAGTCCTGGAAGGGCCGGGGGGCAGGGTGGTTTGGGCACCAAGAAGGTGGAAATGGCAGGTGGGGGTGCAGACACAAGTGTCCTCTGCTTGGGAAAACCATAAAGGTGGGGGTGGGGTGGTATCCACTAGGCTGCAACAGTACTGGAGGCACAGAGGTGAGATGGTAACCGCCCAGCAGACCTGACACGTGTCACACAGCAGGGTCTTGAGGCAGGCTAAAATGGGAACAGTCTGTGTTTACCACATCAGTAAAGTGTTGTCAACCACTCCAGCTGTCACTGCACTGGAGCATGAGGGTCACAGCAGAAGCAGCAGAGCCAACCTAAAAGAGACACCTGAGGACCAGACAGGAGGAGGGGTGGCTGGAAGGCACAGCAGGTCAGAGTATGGGGGTGGCTGCATCCTAGAGGAAGGTGGGCAGTGGGAGAGAGATAGTTTAAGATAGAGGGCACTTAGCTGGAAGACCCTGAGTTCCACGGAGATTCTGGAGAGCGACGGAGAGACAGGGCTGGGGAGAAGTGTCCAGAACACCCCTCGCCCCAAGACCTCCACCGGCTCACTGCCCCTCCTAAGTGCTCACACCTACCCATCACTCTCTCCCGCTTTATTTTACTGGATCATACACTGTGTCTCATCTTCAGCAGTTCCTTGCACACAGCGGGCACCAAGTTAACACATGTTAAATAAATAAGTGAATTTAGGAGTTGCCTGGAGAGAGGACAGTTGTTGCCACAGAAAGTGAAACACCTGTGGAAGGCGTCCACATGAATCTCTATACTTTTCAGGACATGGCCACCATCCCACCTAGTCGACAGATAGCAGGGCCATTTGCACATGAATTGGGCCGGGCAACACCGTCATACCTCAGCTTCAAGACCTGCTGTTTTCTAGGCAAGGAAAAGTATCAGAGCCAATTCTAAGAGCAGTGGGCATGGAAAAAAAAAATTAAGCTGCCTACAGCCAACCTCAAATGAGAACATGAAAGAGGACGTGGGGACCCCACAGTTCTCAGTGCTTCAGCAGGAGCTCGCCTTGTAAGCAGCAGCCCACAGAATGTTGATGATGCGAATAGAGACCACGGCAATGTCTGATCCCTTGTGACACAAGTATATGTTTAAATGTCCTTGTAAAGTTAAAGATATTTAAGTATACAAAATCGTCATCCTTCCTACTCTTGGTTACACATCATGCCCATTTAACCCTTCAGACGACAGCTCAGCCTGTGGGCAGAGGTGATGCTGCTAAGCTTCTTCTGAGCATCCAGGATCAAACTGTCAGGCTACTCTGACTTTTTCTGAGTGACACTCACTCCTGTCTGACAGGACTTCTGACTTCTCGGATCACAGCCGAGATAAAACTTAGCTCTTCAGCCGCACACCCACAGTCTCAAGAAAACCTCTCTCCAGCCCCGAGTAACCAGGTGATGTCCAATGGGTCCAAATACCTCTCAGCACCAGCCTAAAGCTGAGCGCCACTGGCCTGGGAGGGAACCACGGCCCCAGGCACCCTACCTCGGGCAGCGTGAAGTCGGGTCTCCGACTCCAGTCTCTACCGGATGCCCCCCAGTCATTACTCCCCAGCCAGCTTTCCAGAAGCCAATTAGAAGCAGAAACCCTCCCCCGCCGGAGACGCTCCTCAACACGACACCTCGTCGGGGCAAGGGTCCTGTCCACGCCTCTCCCACCGCGAGAGGAACGTGAGCACCCCTCCAGCGGGGCACCCCGGCCGGGTCCCCCCGCCTCTGCAATCCGGACGGCGGCCTGGCCTCCGGTACCAGGGACGGGCTTGTGACCCTCGAGGGCACTGAACCACTAGTGACTTGGCGCCTGAGCACGTCCATCCCGAGGGTCCCCGCGCTGGGGACCCAGTGCCGCCGGCCGCCGCGACCCACCCCTTCCGCGACGAGACCGCGCCCGACCTCACCCGCCAAGCTGGGGGCCTCCTCAGCTCCAGGCCGCCACACCCCGCCCCCGGCCCGACCTCCCCGCCAGCGGGATCACCCCCTCGGCCGGATCAGCGTCCCTACTAACCCGACAGGCTGCGGCGCCGCCCCTGCTTCGAGCCCTCCGCCGCGCCGCCCCTCTCGGATCTCCGCCCCTCCCGCACCCGGGCTGCCCCCACCAAGTTCCCTCACAAGGGGCCGCGCCCGCCTCAGGGCGCGTGACTCAGTCGGGCCGTACCACCGTCCGGGGCTGCGGAGGGGGAGCCGGCCGGCCGACGCTCCCGTACCCGAGGTGCGCGGAGCTCGGCCAGTCCCGCATCCTGGGAAGACCGCACGGGTCCGGGAGCTCCGAAATCCGGTGGGACCCTGGAACGGTTGCCAGACCCTCCCTCTCCACTGCCCAGCCCGCGCCCCCACCGAGAAGCCCGGAGTGGTCGCGCCCGCGCGCGCGGGGGTGGGGGGGGCGCGGGGAGGTGGAGGAAGCCATTCCAGGAGAGGGGAGGATGCAATAATTTAAAGAGCACTTTTTAAAGAGAATTGAGGAAAAGTAGATCCATTCTAGGACTCCCGGCACATACCGAAGGAAGAGAGAAAGAGGACGTCGCGAATATATAGGATGCTGTAATTTCTTTCGGTCTCACCGTTTTCATTAAATTTCCGATGGAACCAGTGTTCGGTGGAGCGCGCGGGCCGGGGGCGGGGCAGGAGGCGGCCACCGGGTGACTTAAGAACGTCGTGACGCGGGGGCCGGGGCCTGGGAGCGCGCAAGCGCGATTCACCCTCCTGCCCTCACCCGTCGTAAAACGTCAAGTTTTAAATATATGTAACTATGGAGTAATGATCCCTGGTGGCTCAGTGGTAAAGGATTCGCCTGCCAGTGCCATGAGACGCGGGTTCGATCCCTGGGTCGGAAACATCCCCTGGAGGAGGAAATGGCCACCCACGCCAGTATTCTAACCTGGAGAATCCGATGGACAAAGGAGCCTAGTGAGCTAGATAGAGTCCATGTGCCGGAAAGATTCAGGCATGACAGCTACTGATCAACAATCTTCTGTGTACTTAACAGATCGGTCTAAAAGCCTTCAGCTCATAATGTGTTTGGCTGAGGTGAGTGGGTGCACAGCGGCCAGGAGCCGAGGGCCTGTGATTGACTCGCGGGCCATGTCTCTCTGGTTTTTCTCCGGAGCGGGGACGTTGTTTTCTGTCTCCTTTTACCTTGCGGTAAGATGGGAGTACCAGACCACCTTACATGTCTCCTGAGAAACCTGTTTGCAAGTCAGGAAGCAACAATTAGAACTGGACTTGGCACTGCTGAAAGAAAGTGAAAGTGTTAGTCGCCCAGTCGTGTCCGACTCTTTGCCACCCTATGGCCTGTAGCCCTCCAGACTCCCGTCCATGGAGTTCTCCAGGCAAGAATACTGGAGTGGGCAGCCGTACCCTTCTCCAGGGGATCTTACTGACCCAGGGATCGAACCCGGATCTCATGCATTGAAGGCGAATTTTTTACCCTCTGAGCCACATTAGATGGTACTCAGGTTCAAAATTGGGAAAGGAGTATATTTCCCAAGGGTGACAAGGCTGTATATTGTCACCCTCCTTATTTAGCTTATATGCAAAGTACATTATGCAAAATGCCAGGCTGGATGAATCACAAGCTGGAATCATGATTGCTGGGAGAAATATCAACAACTTCAGATAAGCAGATGATACCACATTATGGCAGGAAGTGAAGAGGAACTAAAGAGTCTCTTGATGAGGGTAAAAGAGGAGGGTGAAAATGCTGGCTTAAAACTCGAAGTTCAAAAACTAAGATCATGGCATCTGGTCCCATTATTTCATGGCAAATAGAAGGGGGAAAAGTGGAAACAGTGACAGATTTTCTTGGGCTCCACTGTGGACAGTGACTGCAGTCATGAAATTAAAAGACACT